CCGGGGGGGGGCCCCCCCCCCCCCCCGGCTTGCACAACACACGGGGACAGCCAATATTAGTAGACTGACAACACCAAGTATCGACGAGGAGGGAGGAACCAGACTCCTAACCAGGCTGCCGGGAATGTAAACTGGTGCAGCTGTTTTTGAAGACAGTTTGGCAGTTTCTTCAAAAATTCAACATGCACCCATTGCCTATGCCAGCTTTTCCTCTGCCTGTTATTTACCCAAAAGAAAGGAAAGCAGGCATTCATGCAAGACTTTACACAAATGCTCACAGCAGCTCTGCTTGTGATGGCGCCAACTGGAAGCACCTCAAATGCCATAAACGACCGAAGGGATGAAGAGACAGTGATCCAGCCATATGATGCAGCAGAAAGGAACAAGCATCAGTACAGGTAATACCATGGAGACTCCGAATGTTATGCTGGGTTAGAAGCCAGGCAAAACAAGAGCACACACTGCACAATTTCATCGATGTGCATTTCTAGAGAGTGCAAACTAACGTGTAGTGACAGAGGGCTGATGGGCACTGCCCTGGGAGGTGGGAGTGGGCAGGAGGAAGGGAGGACGAAGGGCCCAAGGAAACATTTGGAGCTGTGGATGTGTTCACTACCTCAACTGCAGTGATGGTTTCACAGGTGCAGATATACGTTAAAACCCATTGAACAAATATGTGCAGTTTATGGCATGTCAATCATACCTCAATAAAACTTTTTTTTTAAAAGAGCAAATGATATGAACAGTTTATGGAAAGATATACAAAAGACACATAAATATGAGTATATAAAAAGATATTCCACTTCACTTATAAGAAAAACACAAACTAAAACCCACTGAGAAAAGTAGAAGTTTCTCACCCATTCTAGTTACTCAAATCATGCCAAGAGGGGAGGAGTGGGGACACACCCTGCACTGCTGGGCAGAGTCCCTCAGGGAGGGGAATGTGCATTATCTAACAAAACCACGTTAGCATTACACTTGGGTCTAAGAATCCGCCTTGCTGCAGATACCTGGAGATTCCCTTCATTAACACAAACCCACTGTGCATGAAGCCATTCGATGCGGCAGTATTCACGAGGGCAACTTGAATGCCACCAACTCAGCTATATACAAAAAAGAACAAGGGTAGAGGTGAGAACAGGAAGTTGATGGTTTCCTATATGTTGTTAAGGGAAACAAGCAAGGTGCAAAAGAGAATAATATATATAGAAGGCTACTTTTGGTATAAGAAATAAGGGAGAAATATATATACGCACACACAAGAAATGAGTGAAAATGGATTCCTGTTGATGGGTGGAGGCATAAGCATGAAGGTGAGACTCCTCTGAGTTCACCTTTTATAATTTCCACTTTAGAATAATGCAACTGCTATACTTAAAAATTAAATTTAAAAAGATAGTGAGAAAAAGCCCGAAAACTAAATATCAGCAGAAACAAATGAACTTAACTATATGAGAATCTGAGAACCACACCTACAAAATGAATTAACCTAGGGAACTCCAGCACATTTGAGGTATAATCTTTCTAGGAGCACAAAGAACACAAAACCATCTTGGCCTATTTATGAGCACAGCTGGATAGTGTCCATCACCCTGCCCAATGTTGTGGTAGGATCCAGGACTCTCCCTCTGAGGAAGGAGAGGACAGAGCATTCCAAGGAACACTGCTCAGAAAAAGCCATCACAGAGGGTGAGGAGTCACCCAAAACCCTAGCAGAGCCCAAGTGCCTAGGATAATGCAAAGTNCCTAGGGAACTCCAGCACATTTGAGGTATAATCTTTCTAGGAGCACAAAGAACACAAAACCATCTTGGCCTATTTATGAGCACAGCTGGATAGTGTCCATCACCCTGCCCAATGTTGTTGTAGGATCCAGGACTCTCCCTCTGAGGAAGGAGAGGACAGAGCATTCCAAGGAACACTGCTCAGAAAAAGCCATCAGAGGGTGAGGAGTCACCCAAAACCCTAGCAGAGCCCAAGTGCCTAGGATAATGCAAAGTTCTCTTTCAAACTGTAGTTTTCATTGAAAGAAGAAGAAAGGACTGATGAAATGCCCCAGCTTCCCTGTGGTGAAGTGAGGTTCCACCCACAGCAGGCAGGCCCGACTCTGAGGTCTGCAGGGCCCAGTAGCCTCCTGAGGTCACCAGTGCCTGGAGAATGAAGAACCAGGATGTGAACCTGGCCAGGCCTCCCACCCACAAAGCAGTCAGTGCCCCACACAGCAGGCCTGAGTCTCACACGGATCAGGAGGCAACCTGGAGCAGGACCCAGTCAGGGGCTAAGGCTGTGGAAGAGGGTGGTATTCAGCCCACGCAGGTCCCAATCGAGTGGAAGAGATGCTTCGACACCACTGGAGCCCATAAACACTCTGACAAATGTAAGTTTTCAACAGTATTGTTTTTTTGTCTTTGTTTTTGTTTTTTTTTTGACCAATAAAGGGATTGCAACCCTTGGCACGGTGTGGTCTGCACCACACTCAGCCAGTGAGCGCACCGGCTATCCCTATATAGGATCTGAACCCACAGCCTCGGTGCTACCAACGCCACACTCTCCCGAGTGAGCCACGGGGCTGGCCCTCAACAGTACTGTTAACTAGACTAAGGCACAACTCTCCAGCAAGCTGGGAACTGAGCCCCCCAGCACAGTTATGGCTAAATGATGGGAATACATGGCCCCCAGGCAGCCTCCCTCTGAAGGAGGCACTTCCACATGGCTCCTTGGAAGAACCCTAGAGGCAGAGGGGGCTCCCACCCTGGTTCTGTCACCTGTGGACTGTGTGCTTTTGAGCTGACCCCCATCTCAGGATGGAGAGGGTACGGGTGCCACGCCATGGCTATGTGTCAGTGCCTGTTGCCCAGAGCTGGACAAAGGCCAACTGTCACTCCATGGGCAGCAAATCCTCACCTCTCCCCCACTATCCTTGGCTGATTGCAACTTGGCCTTTGGATGCAGATTAAACATCCCTCCAGGGGGCTTCTCCTGATGCCCCAGATGAGGGAAGGTCCCCCTGGTCCCCTAGAACAGATGCTTCTCCCTCACGGCCCTAGCTCAGTTGGAATCACGACTTATCCCTGGTGTATCTCCGGGGCAGGACAGCACTGGCTAGGCTGTCTGGCGGGCTCTCAGAATATACGTGTTGGGTGAACACATTCACAACAAAAGGGTGTGATCAGATGTGGGGGTACGTACCACAGGTCAGGGTTATCGGTGCTGTTTTCTATGCTGAATTGTTCAATTTCTGGTCCCACCTGAGCAACAAATCTGGCCAGTTTCTCTGCAGTCTCCATTGTCTTCATGTCAACTACAAAACAAAGAACATGTCATGTGTTGCTTCTCAGCTGCTGTTTCCTGTGTGAACATTGTGCACATCCCTCCCTGCAGTTTCGCCCTTCGCCACATGACTCTGTAGCTCTGTCCAGCAAGAGGCAGACTGTCTTCCCCCCTTCAATCAGAGCTGGCCCTGGGACTTGCATCTGCTGACAGGAGAGGCAGAAGTGCCAATTATCAGTTCCGAGCCCAGGCCTCGAGGTGAACAAGACTGAGCTGACTGCTCGGGGGTGACAGGCACATGGCCCAGTCACCTCCACCACCCCAGCCGACAGCCCCAGCTCAGCAGATGCCCTATTGTCAGCAGACTTGGAGCACTATGGGTCACCTCTTGTTCTAAGCCACAGGCTGGAGTGGCTCGCAACAGAACAACAGCTACACAGTGCAGTAGGTGTGGAGATGTGTCTGACCCTACGTTCCTGACTAGTGTTCAGTGGAGCATGGTCAGAGAGCAGGCCCATTGACAGGGAGAAGGTAAGAGCTTAAGGGGACCCAGAGAAGCAAAAGGGGTGAAGCTGGTAAACTCAGAAGAAGCTGTGCAGGTCAGCTAACCCTTAGGAGATCTATAGAGACCTTGGAGAAGAGAAGGCAGAAGGAAGAAAGACAGCCCTAGGGAATGCCACAAGGAAGTAAGGAGAGTAAGAAACGGGATCCCAAGCACATGCACACACTTGTGCTGGCCACCCCAGCAACACGACCCTGTTCGGGAGCACAGAGGCGCTGCAGCATCTTGTTTCAGCTCCACCTCAGGAGAGGAGGAGAGGGCAACAGAACTTGTATGCAGCCCTCTTGGGGAAGCAAGAGAAGACACCTCCACGTGTGCCCATCCTGGCTAGTTCCCTATAGCTACTGCCCGCCACCTTGCCCAGACTGCTGAGACACCATCCTTGCCTCTGGAGAAACCTCTGGAGATGGGAGAGTGGGGACTGGGGCCCAGAGGAGTGGGGACAGGAGTGAGCACCCACCGTCGGCAAATGGGCAGGGAGAGGAGGTCTGAGGGGTTTCGGAGGCGTCTGCTACTGCTGCTCTGGGGGATGGGCCTGAGGCTTCTGGGCTGGGGTCCTGAGGAGAGGGTCCAGCTGGGTCTGGTGGGCAGTCCTTGGCAGCATCACTTCCATCTGGCAGGGACGGCTTTGCCTGTGAGGAGCCTGGAGGCTGCTGGCCGTGGTGTCTCAGCCGTGTGACCGAGGAGAGGAGGGTCTGGGTGCCGATGGTTGCTCTCCTCGCCTTCCAGCCCCGGAGCCCATGAGCACGGAGGAGCCCCCGCCGCTGTCCTGGAAGAAGTCTCTTCTTGAGGTTGTGGACTGCCCGGGCGTACAGCATAGCCCGCACTGCACACTCAGCCGAGGTCGGCTTCTGATCAGCTCCCTGCCAGGTCTGGCTCAACCGCTGCATCTCTGCCAACTTCAGCTTGTAATATTTATACTCCAGGCTACTTTCATCAGACAAAAACCTATGTAACAAAACAGGCACAGCAGGACATTTGTGACAACACCACCGTGTACCAAATCATTGCTGCAAACACATTTCTGTAAACCCTTTCTTTTTTTCCTTTTTGTCTTTTTTTGTGTCCGGCAACGGATCGCAACCCTCAGTGTCGTGCCCGTACCGGACCGGGACCGGCAAAGGGATTGCAACCCTCGGTGTTGCGCCCGCACCTCGCTCAGCCAGTGAGCGGCCAGTCTGTATGTGGGATCCGAACCCTCGGCGGGAGCGTCGCTGCGCTCCCAAGCAGCACACTGTAGCAGTGCCGGGCCAGCCCCTTTTTTTGTTTTTTAATGTAAAACTTTTTTTTTCTTTTTCTAATGTGTCTAAATTTTTTCAAAGAGCATTATTTACTTCATTTCCATTTCATTAGCATCTTCTTTCATCTCTGTCAATCCTTCCCCTTCTAGCGTCTTTAGACTTTTTCATCATTTTCCTTCTAGCTTCACAAGTAGAATGCTTTTTATCTCCACTCCTTATTCCTAATAAATGCCCTGGAAGTCACACTTTTTCTCCCCAATGCTGTTACAGCCACCTCTGGCATGTAGTGTTCTCCCTGCTACTTCCTTCTAAACTGTTTCTGATTTCAGTTCTGATTCTCAAACGTTATTTAGAAGCCTGTTTTATTTTGGTTGTCGCTGGTTTCTAGTTTTCCGCACTGCATAACATGGCCCACCTGTTTTTTCTATCTCTGGATGTGCTGCAATTTTCTCTGTGATCTCATACGTAACAGACTTTTGTGAATGTTCAATTTCAGTTTGTGTTAAAGAAGAACGAATAATTTGGGAATATTTCAGGTGGCTTTCAGACTGCTTGATGTTAAGTGGCCACATATTAGGTCTTAGATGAGGTTTCTGATTACCAATGACACAGACACTGATTGGAAGTGAAGTGGCTGCGTGTCGCAGGGTGCTGGCAACACCATGCAACATGGCATATCCCTGGCAGGCAGCTCAAAGCTCCTGCTGACACTGTCCACACAGTCGAGGTCTGGCTGGACCTGGGAAAACAGGCTGCACCATGACTCCGCCACTACACTGAACCCTCTGCAGGGCTGATAGGAGCAGTCTCCAAAATCATATCCTGCCAAGCAAGGTTTCCACTTAAAAGGGAACACTGACCAACAGGCTGCTCTTGTTCTCCAGTCACATGCAGCCCCACCAAGGCCACCCTCATCGAGAGCAGAAGGCAGAATCAGTGCCCAGCAACCTGACAGCCCCAGTCACCCATGGCTCTGATGGAAGCCCCTTTCCCCTGGATGGTTACAATGTCGAAGGACATCAGTCACAAATCTACGTCCCAACTTCTGTTGGAATACAGCATCAAGAACACAGAATACTAGAGCATGGTGCTGACAACACCAAGGTCAAGGGTTCAAGCTCCATACCAGCCAGCAGCCAAAAAAAACCCCACAGAATACTCGCAAGCCAGCACAGCCACTTATTAGCTGTCAGCCTTTCTGCACCTCAGTTTTTCCATCTGTAAAATGGGGAGGATGACAACAAATTACTTCCTCATGTTGTTATGAGGCTTGAGTTGTACACTTTTCATCAGGAGGCAAGTGCTGCGAACACTGCCTGGCAGTCATTAACTGCTCCACAAATGTTAGCAGACCATCTCACCAGTTTGCTCTTGTGCACTGTGTTATTAAGTCATCCACGTCCTTATTTGGATTACATCATCTACCCATTTCAGAGAAATATATTCACATCTCCTACCATGGTTTTGGGTTATCCATTCCTCTTATCATGGTTTTGGATTTCAACAATTTCAAAATGTTATTTATTTACATAGTTCAAAGCTCTGTAGTTTGGACATCAACATCCACAATTTATATGTTAATGATGACTTTTCCTTTTATCAGGAATCTCTTCTTTCTGCCCCTTCCAATGCTTTTCTCCTTGAAATCTGTTTTCTCTGAAGTAACAACATTTCTCCAGCTGCTTTCTTTTTGCTAGCATTTGCCTATGTAATTTTCCAACTCTGCTTCTCACTCTGTGTTTTAGCATCTCTCATAGGAAGCAACAGCTGGTGCTTTTCAACTCGGTCTCTGGGTAGCTCACTGAAACCTGAACGTTACTAATAAGGTTGAACACATTCACAATGTCATCTCCTATTGTGTTTCCTATTTGCCCTTCTTCCTTGATTTCTTTTTCTTTTCTTGCTTTATATTGGACTAAATACATTTTTTGTGTGTGCCTTTTTTCCTCCTCTAGAGTAGTACGGATGTTGTAAATCCCATTTCTATTCCTTTAACAGCTAATCAATACACCTGTCTAAACTCCTGCTTTCCAAAGAGATATCCAGAGTTCCTCACTAGCTCTGTCCTCACTCTGAATGAGACAAGGGCCTGAGCACCCACGTCCCTTCTTCCTGTTGATGATTGGGATTTTCGTTTCTTTTCCTCCACAAGCATCAACTTAGATTTTCTGTTAACTTTGGGGTCCTTTGACAATCCTGCTGAGGCTAGGTGAGATGGATTCTTGGCTGCCTGCTTTTTCCTGTATGTGTAAACATGTGAACCTGTTGGGCTGTCCCGGAGAGCCTGGCCAGGGCCATCCCACTCCCAGGAGACAAATAAGAAGCTGGGAGAAAACAAAGCATGAAGTATCCCTTCAGCTCCACCTCCTGCACTGTGTGCTTTACAATCTCTCATAAAGAAGAGAGGACACCTGCCAAATGAGGATGCAAAGCGGTAGTGGGTGTCTGACTATACTTCTGACATCTTGAGTACACCAGAATGAGGCAGTTCACCTCAGAGGAGAGGCAGGGGCCAGTTCTGTCCACAAGGCTTCTCTGGAAACAAACTGTGCTTGTCCCTCCTCCTCCTTGGGAGGTGGGAGGTCTCAAATCTCTGCTGGCCCTCAGAGGGCAGAGATAATGGAAGCCTTTCTTACTCCCATCTGTATCCTCAAGTTCTGACCCTATCGTTTGCTAACCAATGAAAAGAACCTACTAGTTGATTTGAGGCCTAGCGAGAAGGGAGTCCTCTGATCAGCAACGAAGAATTCCTCAAACACTGAGGAGTGAGCAAAACCCTCATTTATCTTCATAGAAAGTCAACAGTAATGCATAAAACTGGAAGTCAAGAAACAGTAACACAGGCTTATTAAGAGACACAGAGGTATCTGTTAGAAGCACTGCAGTTTGGGCAGGCCCATGGCTCACTTGGGAGAGTGTGGTGCTGATAACACCAAGGCCACGGGTTTGGATCCCTATATAGGGATGGTCAGTTGGCTCACTTGGGAGTGCATGGTGCTGAAACCACCAAGTCAAGGGTTAAGATCCCCTTACTGGTCATCATTAAAAAAAAAAAAAAAAAAAAAAAAGAGCCGGCCCCACAGCTCACTCGGGAGAGTGCGGCGCTGGGAGCACCAAGGCCTGCAATCCCCTTACCGGTCCAAAAAAAAAAAAAAAGAGCACTGTAGTTTGAAAACTAAGTGTCAGCCTGCAAAGGAGCAGAACAAGCATGGGAATAGGCAATGGCAGAAACATTTTGCTTTTCTTTATGAGGTCAATTTATTTTTTGTTAAACCACATCCAAGAACCACTGTGAGAATTCAAACATACACACCAGAAACCTAAGTTTACTGGTTTCTTTACTTATCCCTGTTTTTTTTTTTTTTTTTTTTTTGTATCATACTCTTTCCTCTCATGAGTCTCTAGATAATGCCTTCTGGAGTTCATGGGTAATACAGTCTCAAGACCAACTCCCAAATTTGTTCATCAGAATCTATCAGCCAACCAGAGATTTTTATTTCAACAATCGTATTTTTCATTTCCAAGATTCTTAATAGGTTCTTTTCCATAACAACCAGCTCCTGTTTCACAGATAAAATAACTCTTATCTGCCTGAGACTATCCACTACATAAACAGTACATGTTTTTAGACTAAATTCCCCTTTCTTATAGTCACCCTGTCTTCCCGGGTGTCAGCTGTTTATTGAATTTGGTGACTCTCCTTCATGGAGTTAGTTTTCTTCAAATATTAGATCTCTAGTTCAATGCTTATTTCTGATTTTGCATCCTACCCTGCCATTACAATCCCAACACCTGAATCCGGTTGTGGTTTCTGCCTGCCGCCCCTGGTTGTCAGTGACCATGCTGGGCTGTGTGCAGTGGCAGAGCATGAGCCCCCAGTCCTCTCAGGGCCCCCTGTCCCTCCAGCCCAATCACCTCATCCATCACCTGGAAATTGCCCCGGGGCCTTCCACATCTGGATGCCTCCTTATCAAGAGAGTTCGGTCTTTGCTTTCATTGGTCGATGTGAGGCTATCTAACTTCCTTCCTTCAGCATGCACACTCCTTAAGAACACAGACCCTGGATCTGAATCTTTGCTCTGCCTCTTACCAGCTGTACATCACCGAGGCAAGAGGTCTTGTGGAGCCTGAAGTTTCCTAACTATAAAATAAGGATATCAATAGACCTACTTCAAAAAATTATTTATGAGGATTCAGCCAGCTAGTGCTTAAATCAGTAATGTGCTTAGAACAGTACCAAGTGCACAGAAAGCATGTCTGTTAAATAAAGGGTATTCAATAAGTGAAACTGGGATAATTAGGTTATTTAGGGATTTTTAACTTTTAAGTTACAGGCCTACCTTATTCAATACATGAAAATAACCCAGACAAACTCAAGAATTTTACAAAAATAAAACCCTAACAGGCTCCAACCATCCCCCTGGTAAATCATGCTGGGTAGAACCAACGTTCTGGAACTGTTACATAGAATTTATGCCTTTCAAGCATCTTCAGTAATTATAACAGCAAAAACACCAAGTCTGGTACAAGTACAATTTTGACTACAAAAGAGGGCACAGGGCTGGCCAGTTAGCTCACTTGGTTAAAGCGTAGTGTTGATAACACCAAGGTCGAGAGTTTGGATCTCTATACTGGCTAGCCACTCCCCCAAAAAAGAGGGCACAGCAGAACATTTACAGAGTGGCAGCCAGAGTGTCAACTGGTAATAATAACCCATGGAAAGTAATCTGATGATAAAGATCAATAGTCTCCATCGGGACAACTCTGCCTCCTGAGAAGAGAATGGGCAGTGTCTGGAGGTATTTTTGGTTGTTATAAATGAGATGAAGGATTCTAGTGGCATATGGTGGATGGAGGCCAGTGATGCTGCTAAACACCCTGCAATGTCCAGGACTCCCCCCCACAACAATCCAGCCCCAAATAATAATGCTACAGCCAAGAAACAACAATGTGGATCAAAAGCCTCTCAAATGAACTTTTACCCAGCAATTTCACTCCCAGACATTATCCTAATAAATCACCAGAAAGGTAGACAAAAATACAAGCAAAACATTGTTCATCACAATGTTATTCACAAATGAGAAAAACAGGACATAATCTAGGAATCCAACCATAGGCATGGCTGAATAAGATACCTGTTTGTATCGGAATATTACACAACCATTGATAATAAAGACAATTAAGTGAAAAACACGGAACACAACTCTAAAGTACACACTGTGGAGGAACAAGCAATAGAGCTCTGAATGACTGCGTCCTTGCCTTTTTACCTGACTCTATTTTTACAAAGAGTACATGCCACTTTTATAATAAAAAAAGTTAAACCATAAAAATTGTCCACACCCAGCAATCTAATAAATAATAAAGATTACCCTAAACAAGCAAGAAAATGTGATGCATTATGTTATTCACTGAAGCAGTTTAAAATAGTGTATAATTAAAAACCTTCTAAAAGTCCAGCAAGAGAAGAATGGCTAAGTAAACTCTGACCACTTCCTCTATGGACTAGTAAATACGGCCATCTGAAATAATGTTTACAAAGGGTAGGTAATACAAGCATTTTCTTACACTACCTAAAAATAGTAGATGTATCACATGACAGCATAATCACAATTGTGTTAAAAAAAAAAACAACAGCTCATGGTGAGCAGAAAGATTGGAAGTGGATGTTGGTGGAACACAGGTGGGTTCCCCCTACTTTACCTTCTTCTTTACTTTCTCTAATAAGCAAGTCCTATACGAGTATTTAGGACGCCAACTGTGATTCTGAAAGTTGTTCTATTCACATGAAGAGGCCGTAAGGCAAAAGCAGAAGACACTTGAACAAATATTGGCAATAAATTGCAAACTGTTGAGACATTACTTATCTTACTCCACGTTCCTTGCATGCATGTCCCACTGTATCCTTAAAACTGCACAGCAGGGACTATGAGCTGCATTCACAGGCGAGAGAAGGCCACAAGCCAGTCTGCAGCAAAGCTGGGGCTTGCTGAACCCAGGTGAATCTGACCCACTCCCGTGTTCTTCCTGCTGGAGGACACCACTGCTCAAAACAGACATCTCACCCTCTGCTCTTCACACCATTAGTATGACCCACGCTTTGCCATGTTTTATGGGAGGGATTAATAGGGTTGTGACATTTAAAGACCTACCAGCAGGGCTGGCTGGTTAGTTCAGTTGGTTAGAGTGTGGTGTTGGTAACACCATGGTCAAGGGTTCAGATCCCCTTACTGTCCAGCTGCCAAAAAACCCCACAAAAAACAAGCAAACAAAAAATAAAGACCTACCAGTAAGCAGGGTCCTCCTTGAGAACAGCTCTCTCTCTGGGAGACAGGCTGCCTTCAACGACACGTGTGACAAGCTGGTCAATGGTGTCTACCACCTTGTGATCCGCTCGCTGGGGGACTGCTGGAACACACAGAACAACTTTTCTGAGAAACATGCTGGACCACACAGGTCCTGGGAGGACCAGGACAGTGAGTCAAGGGCTTAAGTTAGCATTGACCTAAGCAAGCATCAACAACTGAAATTCTCATTCATAAGACACCAGCTTAAAAAGAGGAAAACGATGTTTTATTCTGGAAACCAATATGCAAAATAGCCTCCCAAAAGATAAAATACCATAAAGACTAGGAGAGAAGCAGTCACAGGTTCACAATGACTTACAAAGAGCAAGTTATGTACATATTCTAGAAAGTAAATAATATGCAGCAATTCAATCCATTTTTCATGTATCCTTAATAACGTGAATGTTCACAATATTAGAGTGGAAAATATAAAGATAGAAAATGTATTTAGATATAAAATACTTTTTTTTTTTTTTTTTAAAAGATGACCGGTAAGGGGATCTTAACGCTTGACTTGGTGTTGTCAGCACCACGCTCTCCCGAGTGAGCCACGGGCCGGCCCATAAAATACTTTTTAAAATGTATACAGGTTATGATTCTCAATATAAACATAAGAAGAAAAGATACACCAATACAGACACACAGAAAAAAGATTAGAAGGAAATATACCACAATGTTAATAGGTTATCTATAGGTGGTAGATTTATCAGAGGTTTCATTTTCTTCATGCTTTGTCTTTAAAAAATAAACATACATGTGTTTGGCGTCATTAAGTATATATATGTATATAAATTTACTAAGAAAAGTTCCCTAATTAAAAAAATAAAAACAAAAAACCATCAATGGCCCTAAGTCAGGAGTTCACAGAAAATATTTGCTAAATGAATTAAAAGAAAAAGTTGGGGTTTTTTTTTTTCCTTTTTTTTTGTCTTTTTTCATGACCGGTAACGGGATCGCAACCTTCGGTGTCGCGCCCGCACCGCGCTCAACCAGTGAGCGAACCGGTCTCTATATGGGATCCGAACCCTCGGCGGGAGCGCCACCACGCTCCCAAGCACCGCACTCTACCGAGTGCGCCACTGGGCCAGCCCGAAAAAGTTTTTTTTTAAATGTGAATTTCTTCCAATATGGCTGTTTAAACTTACAATGACACTAGCAACACAGAAGAGCATATTTCTTCAAATAATATCGTTTAGTTTCCTTATATTTCCTGGTTTTAGTATACGTGCTGCCGAAGCGAGCACAATATATTTCCTGGTTTTAATAACACAAAATGGTCTATTTGTTCAGTCATTCAATGAAAATCACAGCTAAACTAGAGAGGCTTCTACTCTGTTCTGTGAATGACTGCTCAGCCTTGTCCCTGCCTCTGTCCTCTTTGCTGCTTTGAGCTTATTTTAAACACCAGTGTGAGCTCTTCACAGGATAGGTCAATCCAACTGTCATGCTACCACAACTATTCCTCCTATAAAACTGCATTCCTTTTTTTTCTTTGTTCTCATTTTATAGAACTGCTACTTTTACATCATTTCACAAAAGAATATGAAGCTTTTTACAAAGTCAAGAAGCTTTCAAGGACAAAGAAATTTGGAGGTCGCTGCAAATTTGGTCATTTCTAGCTAGAATGGCCATAAACAAGGGACAGAAAGTGGGTCACGGCTTTGGGCCAGCAATCCCACTCCTGAGAATTTTTTTCTTTAGAGAATTTAAAAGGAAAAAAAAATAGTAATAATTAATACATTCAACCGAAGATACCATCCCAGCATTTCCAAGAGAAACAAAAGGGCAGTGCTGCTACCTAAGGTTGCTCGGCTGCCCCACTGGACATGGGTGCTGTCACCCACTGTTCTATCCATAGAGCCCTGGCTTGCAGATGCTAATTACATGTGAATCCAGCTCTGTTTAGCTTCAGAAACCTGTAGTAAAAGGCAGCATGAGTCTCAATACCAAGGGAAAGGTGAGGTAATTTTACGTTAGCTCAACGTCTTGATGCAGCAAGAACACAGAAGGGGCCTTGTGACAATCACATAAATGAGCAGACTGCAGCATCTTCAGTCCAGCATGGCTACAGCTGCGGGAATGCCTGGGGAACATCACCATACTGTGGGAGGGGGGTGGCCACTTCAGGCTGTGTGTGACTTTTTCCTCCTTCGTACAACGTTATTCAGTATCGTCGCACTGACACTGAAAGTGACTCCAGCACTTTGGGAAAAAGAGTCCTGCCTTCAGCCCTGAGTCTGCTTCTGGAAGGATCTCTCTCTGGGAGAAGGTGTGGCTGCCCACGCACAGTAGGACCCATCT